GGACACGATACCACCCCCCGCATTGCGGACAGACGACGATGTCCCAGCGGGAATCGAGAGGAGGTAGCCTACAGTGACCAGTGTATAGCTCACACCAACGACCCCCCCCCCTCCAGCAGGGCCAACAGGCCAGAGGAAAGGAGTGGGAAGTCACGGCGGAGGCGGCGGAGGCTGCGGAAGCCGCGGAACATCCCCCTCAGGACAATCAGTCCGTCAGCAGTCCTATGGGAGAGCCACGCACGCAGCAGGGAGACCACGGAACAGCCACCCAGACGCAGGACAACGAAGCCATACGCCGGCTCGTCGAGAGAAACCGCTTCGCGCCTATTCGCCCTCCGTCCCCTGTCAGTGATCGGCTGCGGCTCCCCTCCTCCTCTTCCTCCTCCTCCTCCTCCTCCTCCTCCTGCGCCTCCTGCGGAGGCTGTGGTCAACGCTACGTCGGAGGATGCACGCTGTGTGGGCGTCGCATCGACTGGTCCCCCCAGGAGCGGTCACAATAGGCAAGTCAAAGAATCCTGGTCTCCTTCTCGCTTGCGTATCCCCACCAGCACACACGGGCAGTCCCCCTCTGAGGTCTGGCGCTCTGTTCCCCCCGCGGTCGCAGTGGGCCCTCCGCAGCGCACGGTGGAGGGGTCGCAGATGCCACAGTCCACGCCCCGTGGTCACACCTCGCGTGCTTCCCCCAGTCGGTGCCGCGTCCAGGACACCGCTGGCAAAGCAGCGTGCTCCCCGGCTATTGAAGTTGCGCCGCCGAACGTGCACGCGCCCGGCACAACCAGCGGCGCCCCAGAGGCCGGAGAGAGTCCTGCGTTGACCAAAGGGGGCGCACCTGGGAGCGACGGCGGGCACAGCCCCGAGGGCGAACGTCAGCGAAAGGGGCCCCTCCCCACGTGCGAAGATCGAGCTGTATCCAGAGAGGGAGGCAACGCATTCCTCCCGCCAGCGGTGACAGAAGGCCCTCCACAGGCCCACGCGGAAAGAACAATCCCAGATGACTCGACCTGCCCCACGCGTGCACACATCGCCGACCCCTCCCTCTCCTCTTTCAATTTACCAGATCTTGCGGCTATCGGCTGCGCCCCCTCCCCTCCTCCTCCCCCCACTGCGCAGGGCACTCTTACATCGCCCCCTGCAGCTGGAAATGAGGCAAAGATACCGTCGAGGCTCCTTCGGCAAATCGCTCCAGTAGGACATGAGCTCAGAGCGAGGAGGATAAGGTGGTATCAGAGGTGGGTAGGGGATCCAAACAGACACATTGCAGAATGGGGGTCGCTACTAGGCAGTACGCGGGTCGAGCTTTCAAACGAGTTGCCGATTGTGGGCGACGACGCTCGACTCATTCAGGCAGCATGTCCCTGGGCTTGCAAATTTGTGGAATATATATATATATATATATATATATGTATATATATCATCGCTGGCAGACCTCGGGGACGATGGTTACACTATGGTGCAGCAGTTTAATGGGCAGCCTCCCCGTCTTTTTTCTGACTCCGGGCTGATCGATTGGTTCGCGCTCTTCGACGCAAAAAAGATCAGGGCGGCATACTTGTCGGTTCGCATTCCTCCTCCTAACTGGGCCCCACTATCTGCGACCCCAGAGGACCCCGACGTGAGACAAGATTGGGGAGTACGGCTGTCCTGCTCAAGGGTGCTCCAGAAGGTTCCAGTGAAAACGTCAGGTCCTGGTCCACTTACACAGCCATCATGGCCTCAAATCTAGTATTGGAACAGCTGTGGTTAACAGCCAGTGCTTCGTGTGCAACAGTGCATTCGAATCTAGAAACTCAGCATGCAAACGTGTGGTGGATTCATTCCAGAGTGGATTATGCATGGTGAATCTTAGTGCGACATTCCGAACACCTACACCATTATCCTCGGACTGCCCGTTGTGCGAGGCTCAGGTGCTTGATTTCTCCGAACTTTCACAACATATACGCTCGCGCTTTACCCAGTTGCCGCTACGGTTCGACGGTGGCGATCATAGCAAGCATTCCAGCTTGGCAGCTCAGCGTGAAGCGCAGGGCCAGCCAGGTTACAGGCGGCGACGATCGACGGCAACGGCTGGAACAACAGGTGGTCGGCCAGGCTCGTCAGGAGCTCAAAGGCAAGGAGGGGGGCATCATGGCAGCGTTGTTGGCAATTTTGCGCAGGCTTTCTCTCGCCGATGCCCGCGATCTCGCGGAAATCACAGGCGCTACGTTCACCTGTTTTTTTCCTGCCAGCCATCGCCGCCCTCGTCAAAGTGATGCAGACGGCTGGTCAGGACTGCGCGGCGGACTGCAAAGAACAGGGGAAGCAGCACGACAACGGGCCCCCTTGGCCCCGCATCTTCACGGCGCTGGTAGCACACTTTCTGGCTACTCAGGCGGACAACAAGGAGCCAGTGGTGAGTCAGGCGCTGGCTGTTCTCAAGCACTACTGGACACAGACAATCAAGGACGACAAATCCGTGACCCTTTCTCTGCTGGCCGAGCACGTACGCTACTGCCGCATGCCGGCATGCTGGTTCGACAAGAAGGCGGGCAAGAAGGAGGCGGACACTTACGAACTACAACTCATGATGAGTCCATACATTCAGAGTCAAGTGGTCACGATCGATGGCATGCCGCTGATGACCGTCCACGCGGCGTTGCAGGTGTACATTCGTCAGGAGAACGGCAAGATCAAAGCAGGAGCGGCTCCCGAGGGGGCCTTGGAGAGGGACGCAGAGCGGCTGCTGGCGAAGTTCGGAATGGCTCCAGAGGAGATTCAGAAGCATTTGGCACCGTAGATGGTGATATGTCTATGACTCAGAGAGTGGATCGTGCTGCGGCTTCTGCGACACCCTCGACCTCTTCTGAGACCCGTGCTCGTTCGAGGATAAGGCAGCCTGCCCGTCTGTCCGGCATTGCTCAGTCAATTCGCATGCTCGAGCTGGCCCAAAAGGGCCACCTTGGACACCCCCAGCTTGCCAAGTTGCAAGAGAAATCAGACACCCCGATTTTAGACTACACCTCGGGGAATGCCAAATTTCAGGCTTATTACCAGGAGCCTTTGGAGTTTCGTTTGACGGTGGTTCAGGCTCTCCAGAGAGCCGCTCTGGTCAGGACAGTTGCCACTGACCTCAGCTCCTCCTCGTTCTCTGCTGATGCGCGTGCTTCGAGTGCGCTGCTTGCCCCTCCTTCACAACCACCGTCACTGATTTCAGAATCTGAGCAGAATGAGTTTCGCACGTAACGCCACGGCCCCCTCCGCTGCCTGCTGCCCTCTCTCCTCCCCTTCCTCTCTCCCGCGGCCTTTGCTGCTGCTTGACCCCCCTCTTCTCCTGGCGTCGCGTGTGTGTGTGTGTGTGTGTGTGTGTGTGTGTGTGCGTGTGCGTGGTGTTCGTGTGTTGGCGGTGTCCTGTTCCTTCCCGCCCGTCGTTCCCCTTCGTTCCCTCGTCGCGTCGTTGCTGGGCCGTGGCCTAGGATTGAATTGGGGGAGACTTCCGACTCTCTTCTGATGCGAGCCTGCCGCTGGGAGGATGGTGCCCATGTAGGCCGTCACGGGCCGTTCCCCTTCGGACGGTCCTGCTTTGGGCCAGTGGCTTCCCCCCAGCGAGGCTGCAGGCTATAGCCCCGTGCTATCCGTTGATCCTTATACATACCTTGTGCTCGTGTGTCAAGTGTCGCACGGCAGTGGAACTCACCAGGGTCGCAAGCGTTCCAGTCCAGTCCAGTCCTCCTCCTCCTCCTCCTCCTCCTCCTCCTCCTCCTCCTCCTCTTCCTCCTCCTCCTCCTCCTAAGGCCTCCTAGATGGGGTCGGAGAAGATGGGGTCGAGGATCGCGCCGCATTGCCGATGCATTGGCGATGCGGCCCGATGTGGAGCCCGTGTAATTAGCCCCACGCCTGCGTCGCCGGTGCATTGCCGACGTCGCCGATGCATCGCCGATGCGTCGCCGATACGTCGGCGATGCATGAGCGATGCGGCGCGATCCTTCGACCCCATCGACTCGGACCCCATCCAGGAGGCCGCTAGACACGAGGCCCCGCGCGCAACAGGAGTGGGCGCATCCGCTCCTGCTTCTGCGCTGCAGGCCGCCTGTGCGTTCGCGCGCAGGCCCTTGAGTCTTCTGGGCTCGTGAGTACCCCGAGTTTCTGATACGGCTACGGGGGGGCGTCGCCCCCGCCGACAGCCCCATTGACCCCCGTCGCGGCGCGACGACGAGGCGAGGTTGAACCCCGTCGGGGGGTAGACCCCCCACGCTCATTAAGAAACCTAGAGTAGGTCGCGTCCAGGCGCCGTGACCGAGTCGTTCCAGGTGGGCAGGGTTGCGTCCGCCCGGGGCCGCTTGTTCCCGTGTTTACGCAAGGGGCGGGCCGTTGGGTTCGGCTGTCGGCCCTCCGCACCTTCTGCGCCAATGCACCTTTGGTTTCGCGGTTGGTTGATCCAACCCAGCGAGGGCAAAAACGGGACGCGCTGGAGAGCGAATTATTACCGAGCGTATGCGGACGGGAGCTCATGACGAGCGGTGGACGGATGCAGGTAAAAACACGCATGTGTCATCTATGTGAACCCCGCACATCAGGCCGATGTTGCTCTGCCCCCCTACTCGCGTGCTTGGGTGAGTGTGGTCTCGAAGTCCTGCCCGTGTCAGCCCACCCTTTCTTCTTTCTTCACCTCTTTGCCCATCTGTGCGCTCTTCATGTTTTGTCTTTCCTTCATCTTACTCCTCCTCCTCCTCCTCCTCCTCCTCCTCGCCCTCGTCGTCCTCCCCTCCCTCCCTCCCGGTCCAAAATTCCTCCTCCACCCCTTCGATCTCCTCCTCATGTGGCCACATGATTGCTTACCTGAGGGCCGTAAAAGGGGCAAATAGCCTGAAAGGGGATCGCCATTTCCGAGCGGCCTTATTGCTTGGAGCCCCTGCGGCAGAGCTTCCTGCTCCCAGGAGGCGCCCAGCGTTATTGACGCGAAGGCGAAGAAGCCCTTTCCTTCCAGCTCGAAGACAGTGCGCGCATGTCCGCTTGGATGTGCGAATGATTGCAAGCGTTTGCTCGCGCGCCTCTCGCACACTGCCGTCTCCGTTGCGCATCTGCCGACCTGTGCAGGTCCCTCTGTCGTTCGGCTCGGCCGTCCACTTGGTGCACGGCGCAAGTGCGGGGGGGGGGGCGGGCGTGTTGGCGGTCGGGTGTTCGATGCTGGTTTTCCTCGTGTGATCGTTTCTGTCGGTGCATGCAAGGGTTGAGGGCAAGATACACGTTGTACGGATATGGAATTGCGATCCAGGCGATTAGGGGGAGGAAGACGGGAGGAGGGAGGAGGAGGATTTCGCGGATGAAGGGGAGGAGGAGGGCGAGCAGAAAAGCCAGAGGCTTCTTGGATGTCTCTCGGAGTCGTTTCGGATGTCTTTCGAGAGATTCTTTGAGTCCTCTTAAGGGCGCTTTGGGGGTCTTGGCAGTCCCGGGGGCCTCTTGGGGCCTCTGGGTGCCTCAATGATTCTGGCCTTCTCGCCGAGACCATGTTTGACGCTCCGACTATTCGCGAAACGCTCCGTCCAGGTCCAAGAGGAGGGCCGAGGAGGAGGGGTAAACCCATCCCCGAAGGGGACGAAGGGACATGCAAGAGGAAACGTCCTAAAACACTCACGTCCTAAGCCTGTCACTGTAACCCACCATAGGTAGCTCCTCAGCGCCCTTGCGGTGGCAAAAGCTTCCAGCTTTCAGCGAAGATAATTCTAGAGTTGTGGAAGTCGGTTAATGGAGAGGAAGCATATTGCCAAATCATTGTCAGGTGTCTAAAAATGTGCAAGCATGTTTCAGCATGTAAAACACATGTTTGAAACATGTTTATAACATGATTTACACACTTTTAACACATGTTTAATTCAATGATAGGAGTGTTAGAGTGTCCATTGTCATGGCATCCACAACTCTAGCGTGCAATGCAGCATATCACACGTCGAGGTGCTGCAGGTGTCGGCCTGCGGCCAGGGCCGAGCCACCTGGTCCAAGTCTCGTTCGCGGGTGTCGAACTTTCGGTCGCTTCCCCAGCCGCTGTTCCGTCGGGGTTGAACACGGGCGACGGGGCGGAGGACGAGGGAGAATGAGGAATCGGAGGAGACGGAGAAGGCGACGGGGGAAAAGGTGTGGCAGCACCGCTTAAGTGCACAGGCGAAGACACCGCGCCCTTGTGCGTACATGCGCACGACAGCACGGAACCTGCGTGCACGCGCGTGCACCGGGCGCGGCGTGCAACCATCATTGTGTTCAGCTATCTTGTCGTACACAGCGAGCACGCGTGAGTATAAGCACTTGTCTTTTTCTCTGTGCCCTCTGCATTGCATGTATAAGCACCGGGAGAGCACGGATGTTATCAGCAAGCCGCTCACGTGTTTACCCACGCCGTGGCAAGGAACTGCGAACGCGCATTATACCGGGCTAGCGACGACGGTCAATGCGGCGGAAGGGGGACAGGGCAGGTCTTGGATGCAGGCCTTGCATGTATGAACGGTGGCCCAGAACTCAAAGATAAAACATGTTGGATGGCATGTGTGGCAGCATCTGCTTTCCCACCCGTGCCGTTGCATGCTTCAGATGCCAGTTGAGGAACCTCGCGATCGCAGCTTCTCTTGCATTCCAGTTACTTCATGTCTGCATCGGGTTGCATCAGAAGGAGCCGTGGTCGTGACCTCTCTTTCTCTCTTTCCCATCCCTCTCTTCGCATCCATTGGTCCCCTCGCGCGTGGTCTCCGTGACCCTCTCCCCCTTTCTCTCTTTCTCTCTACCCCTCTCTCTCTGTTTGATCTGGTTGCAGATGTGTGCCGAGGTTTCGCCTTGTGCCCGCCCGCGGGCGCCCAGTGGGCGATCGTGGACGCTCCGTGCTGGATTGGTATGCCGAAGTTTCGCCTGTTGCACGCCCGCGGGCGCCACCATACGCGCTCTCGGCCTATCGCCATCCTCCGCCCCGACCTCTCCTCCCCCTCCTCCTCTCCATCCTCGTCCATCTCTTAATCCTTCTCCTGCTGCCCTCCTGCTCCTCTTCCTCTTCGCCCTGCTCCTCGCCCTTCTCCACCTTCATCCCCGGGCAGTTTCCCAACACAGTGCTTGCACCTATAGGGGTTCTTGTTTCTCTTGCTAAGAAATCGGTTAGATCCAGCGAGGTTTCGCCACGTTGCCGCCCGTGGCCGCCTCGTGGCCGCCCCGGGCACTGGGTGGATTTGTCGAGGTTTCGCCATGATGCCGCCCGTGGCCGCGTGGTCGCCTCGTGCGCTGGGTGGGTCTGGCAGGTTTCGCCACGTTGCCGCCTGTGGCCGCCTCGAGGACGCCTGGTGCGCTGAATGGGCCTGGCGAGGTGTCGCCAGGCTGCCGACTCGTGGCCGCCCAGTGCGCTGGCGGGCTCCCGCAGGGCTTCGCGGCGCTGGTGCCCGTGGCCGCTTCCTGCGCCGGGTGGGTCCGACGAGGTTTCGCCGCATTGCCGCATCGAGGCCGCCCCGTCCGCTGGGTGGGTCTGGCGAGGTTTCGCCACGTTGCCGCCCGTGGCCTCCTCCAGGCCGCCCCGTGCGACGGCGTGGCCGCCTCGTGCGCATTTGGTGGATCTGGCCAGGTTTCGCCCACGCTGTCGCCCGTGGCGTGGCCGCCTTGTGGCCGCACCGTGCATACACTACGGAGCCCACACAACATATATTGCACCACGTAGGTTTTGTAGATCAGGCCACGCTGATTGCACTACATAGCTTGCACCGCGTAGCTCACAAGATCATACGTCACACCACATAGATTGCACCACCTTGCTGTCACCACATAGCTCACGCA